CATAGTGTTAACCAAGTTTTGGCAAAAATTTGGTGTAAAACTATCCCACATTTTTTGAAGCTTTTGTCTCAGTTCGGTGATTGTACGAGTAGGATGTTGTCGTAGTACCTTTTTTATCTCGTGCCACAAAGTTTCAATAGGTGACAGATCTGGACTGCTAGAAACCCATTTCAAAAGTGGTACATTATTTTCTTCCATCCATTTTATAGCCTTTTTTGAGTTATGGCACGCTGCACCATCTTGCTGAAACACAAAATCTTGGCCGGATGTCAAACATTCTTCCATCACTGGTAAAAGCGATTCTTCTAAAATTGCAAAATATACCTTTTGATGACATACTGCCCCAGACCATAATGGATGCTGGAAATTTCACTTTTCTCTTCAGTCAGACAACATGGAATGCTTAATTTTTTTTGTGAATAACTCTACTGCGACTGTCACCAACACAAACTTCGAATCGGGCCTCATCACTCCATTTTATTGCACACCATTGTTGAGGTGTCCATTGTCTATGTTCTTTAGCCCATCTAAGCCGACTTTTCTTTTGCAGTGGAGTTCATAGTGGCTTTTCTTTGGCCTATAAACAAGTTGTTCAACTTTCTCTCTGGTTGTGGACCTCGAAATTCTCCTTAGCACTTAATTGTAAATAATTGGCACGCACGATTATTCTTCTTAATGCTCTCCGGTCGGCATTTGTGATATTACTTTTTTTCACATATAGTGGCTTAATATTAACTGAACCAGTTACGTTATATCTTCTAAAAATATTTCTCACACTGTACCGCGATAAGTCTAAAAAAGTTGCAATTCCTCAGTTTGATTTCCCGGAATTAAAAAAATTAATTATCAGTAACCGAATTTTCTCACTAATAACCTTTCCTCTACCCATTTTGAAAACCTTAACTACCCAAAATTATTTAAACGTATTCTGACAACTGTGATTAATAAAAACAATTGTCATGGCTTCTATTTTTCACAGCGACCTATGCGTTATAGACTTATTTTGCATTGAAATGAAAACAGGTTTATATTCTGTAATTGCAACATGTGTTATTTTTATGCTGCAAATTTGTTTTCTACTACATATACTAAGTGACATATAAACCCGAACACCCAGTTTAAATGGTTTTATTTTAATAAAATTTTGTATAAGTACTTAATGAAGCATAATAAGTAAATGATAAAAATTTCAAAATGATTGCACTGCTTTAAAGCCCTTTGACCTTTAATAATGTGTGGATGCACCCTGATGTGCTACGCATTCTCCAACGCGCCTAGGCATGCTTCTGATCAGGTGGACAATGTCCTCCTGTGGTATCTCATTCCAGGCAACCGCCAACTCCTCTCGAAGTGCTTCTAGAGTCTGAGGAGGACGTTGCAAATTGAGCAATCTCCTACCCATCATATCCCACACGTGCTCAATTGGGGATAAGCCGGGAGATCTTGGTGGCCATGGTAACAATGTGACATCATTATGTTGAAAAAAGTCTATTGTGACTCTTGCAACATGTGGTCGGGCATTATCTTGTTGGAAAGTTGGATCTGCCAGGGTAAAGATGGGGTTCTAGAACTTCGTGGATATAACGCTGCGCGTTCATGTTACCTCTGATGAAAATTAAAGGTGAACTAAAACCATAAGCTATAGCACCCCAAACCATAACTCCAATAGTGTGATGAACATGTCTTTCAACAAAAAACTGTGGATTCCTCCTTTCACCACGTCGCCTTCTAACCTTGGCACGACCATCGTGCATGCCTAAACAAAATCGAGACTCGTCACTAAAGACAATACTGTTCCATTCCTGATCCCAGAGTGACCGTTGTCTGCACCACTCAAGGCGATTACGTCGGTGTCAGGGTTAGAAGGCGACGTGGTGAAAGGAGGAATCCACAGTTTTTTGTTGAAAGACATGATCATCACACTGTTGGGGTTATGGTTTGGGGTGAGCTTATGGTTCCAGTTCACCTTTAATCTTCATCAGAGGTAACATGAACGCGCAGCGTTATATCCACGAAGTTCTAGAACCCCATCTTTACCCTATCTTGACACCCTGGCAGATCCATTTTTCCAACAAGATAATGCCGGACCACATGTTACAAGAGTCACAATAGACTTCTTTCAACATAATGATGTCACATTGTTACCATGGCCACCAAGATCTGTCGACTTATCCCCAATTGAGCACGTGTGGGATATGATGTGTAGGAGATTGCTCAATTTGCAACGTCCTCCTCAGACTCTAGAAGCACTTCGAGAGGAGTTGGTGGTTGCCTGGAATGAGATACCACAGGAGGACATCGACCACCTGATCAGAAGCATGCCTAGGCGCGTTCGAGAATTCGTAGCACATCAGGGTGCATCCACACATTATTAAAGGTCAAAGGGCTTTAAGCAGTGCAATCATTTTGAAATTTTTATCATTTACTTATTATGGTTCATTAAGTACTTATACAAAATTTTATTAAAATAAACCATTTAAACTGGGTGTTCTTAGTATACTTTTGTGTTTGCGACTTTTAAGCGGTGCTGCAAACCCTTCCAGAAAACAGTCAGAGAAAATTTTGTGTGAAACGAATATGGAGATTGTAAATTGTATCCTGCTTATTTTGAGTAGGAAAATGGACCTTTTGGCGTCAACTTCAAACCTAAATTTCAATTTCATGTAATTAATCGGAATTTATGTTGTTGAAAAATTTACTTCCTTCTACCTTTATAACAGGAAACTGTTCCTTTAGACCCTAAATTTCAATTAATTACAAGAAAGTTATATAAAAATGGCCATTAGAAGAATACTTTTCTATACAAAATTTCTATTTTCATTCTGTGACCCACCAGCATTGCCGTGCTAAGCACAATGGGGTTATCTGCAATTTTCGGACATACTTGGTTATTGATACTTAGTTAATCAGTGTCATTTTCTCTACTCATTGGAAATGTCTTTTGGCGTTAACATAAGATGCCTTTCTCATCCTTTTTCTCGGTATCATGATAGCCTAGCTGCAAATACCCCTCCTGTGCTCAATACCGCAGAAGAAACCTAAGTATACGAGGAATTACCCAAAAATAACCGGAATAGCATTGCAATGGTCGGAGCTTGTGTAGTACACATTTCTGCCAATAGGGGCGTACAGCGCAACTCATGAGCAGTTCATGAGTTGTCGATGAGGTTAGTTTGTGAAAAAGTTGAAGATAAATAGCTTTTAAAAAATAATTCCGTTTTTTGTGGCTACCCCCTCGTACTTTGGTAATTTGAGACGAGGTTTTCAAGAATGACCATGCAAACAACGGTGTCACGGTCCCATTTTTGGAATTTAAATTTTTATTAAGCATTTTCCCAATACAAAAGCTCCATTACTAACCCCCGTGACCATAAATGAACGGAACTCAATACAATAGGGCAATTTGAGACGCTGATTTTACAAAGGGACACAAACATTTGTTAGTGCCATGAAATCTTAATTTGGTCGAGAAAGGATACTAAATATATAAAGTAGACTGTGCAACATCAAGACCTGTTGAATGTAGAATGAAGGCTATATAATAAAAAAAGGAATCAAGCTTTCAGCGAACGTGTATGGGAATAAGGGAATATGGTAGAATGGGAGTAAGTCTTAATGTTGCACATAGTATAACAATTACAAAAGGATGGTAAAGGAGTCAGCGCATATAATATTAGACAATAATTTCTGTTCAGTCCCTCTGAAAATTATGGCCGATTTTGTTTAGAAAGTCTTATTGATATTCTCCAAACCTACTGATCGACCATAAGGTTTTTAGTTTCCAGTTCGTTGTTATGGATTGTTATTGGATCCTGAATGCACAGTTGTTTTATTTTGCCGTCTAAAGGCCAAACTGTCGAGTCTTACATTATTACTACCCTTGAGGTATCGAAGTACTACTAGTTTAATAGTCGAAGATTGCAGCACAGTCAACCGGTCCCCACAACAGTTCTGGGTGGGCTTCAGCGTTCTCAGGGACGTTTGGCGTTTTCGGGACGATGAACGGGGGTAACCTGTCTAGTTCACCCAAAACAATAGATATCCTTATGCTCGCTTGTCGCTTGGGGGAGTCTGGCCCACCCTTTAGGAGCGACAATGTCTACCCTAGACGGCTTTGCTGGTTTTACGCAGTGTTGTCAAATAATTGGAATGATAGAGCTTTCAGGCTGTTATCGCAACCCGCTGTATATTAGCGAAAACGTCACCTGGAAGACATAAATATGAAATGTATTGTAATTGATATTTATTTGTAAGCTTTGAAAATGTCCACCGTGGTGACCGGAACATCAGTTTAAAATGATTTATGCAAATGAAGTTTGAATTGTACTGTCTACAATACCAGGAGTAACTCACAAACATATATATATATATACCACCCGAAATGCAACTTTGAAGTTCTATAAAATAGCAAGCGTCGGGTTCCTTGAAGGAAAAATGATATTTTCGTACAATCTACATCTTAATCTTTCATGTTAAAATAAGAAATGAAATATTTGCGATATGCGCTAGAGTTTACTTCAGCCATATACAGGGTGCTAATAAAGTATGTAGTCAAACTTTAACAGTTGGTATAACCTATGATAAATTTTCATGTTTTACAAGTTGCTGAGGCTCAATATGAACGTGGATGACAATAGTATTATCCTGTATTTTTGGAAAAAAAATTATTTAGAAGGTCAAATTAAAAGTAGTGCTGTAACAGTTGCCTTTTATTGCCGATGAATCATATATTTTTTGTTGTTGTTGTTGTTGTCGCATAGGTTTAATTTGAAGTAATGCAGCAAGAACTTGAGAAGGAAGAAACAAAAGCCGATAATCTAATCTAATAATCTCCGTAGCATATTATTTTTATTCATAGTATATTATTAAATCAATTTTATTGACAAAAATGACTAGACCGGCCCATTGGCCATTTCCCAAGATAGGGCTTGTTTTTAACAGTGTATTTAGCTATATTTTTCTCACGTAATTCATAACCAAAATAAATAACACGCAGACATTTACCTATTATCATGTTTATTTAAAATAACAAACATAGCACATGAATACCACGGAAAAACTATAATTTTTAATTTGTATCCGTTGTTTTTCTTCTGTAGTCGTTTGGCTGCCTGTATATAGTAGTCAGCATCTTTCATGTCACTGAACAATTTGGGAACTGAAACCAAATATTTCTCAATCAATTAAACATAATCCATCCTGATCTATTTTATAATCCAAAAATTTCAATTATTAAATTTAACGTACAGCAATCGCACTCCATTTTGATCATCTTTACAGTTTCTACCACTAAGTTTATAAATATGAATGTAGTCAATTTTCCATGCATTCAGGTAATTAATTGAAGAATTTACTCACCCTGATATGGACAATTTCTTCTTGTGTTGCCTAGTAATTTCCCTGGTTCACCATGAGTAATAATTTTAGTATTCATCTCCACATATTTTCATAAATAACTCGGTTGCTTTGATCCCATGCTAGATCTTCCACCGTCAAGAAATCAATTCAATCTCGAAATTTTCGCCTCGGAGACTTGTTCACATCCCAACAACAATCCGGTTTGTCACTCCGGAGCTAAAAATAAATAAATAAATAAATGTACATCTATAAATTGATATCACCTTCTGAATTGAAAACTATTTGTGTTGCATAAATATTATTACTCACCTATTGAACTATATATTTCTTTTATAGTCAGATGAATTTATTATTGTTTTCTGAAATCTTCCAAAGGCAAAGGCTGATGTCGCTGATGTCGAGGTACTATTCTGCGTACGGAACTACTTGCACACCTCGCTTGTTCCGCATAGTTGCCAATTTTATTTCAGTATTTCCTTATGTTTATTAATCAATCAAATTTATATGCAGATATGACAGTGTTGCCACATTTATTCACGATATTTCCTTGAATTTATATTAGGAACCTTCTCATTTTGGGATTAGCCGACAATGTTTGGCTCTTAATGGTCAGGCGTACAACTATATTTGGAAATGTCAAGTCGAAAAAATTAAATTTTGGGAGAGGACTTCCTTCCACTGTCGGAGGGACATCTTGTTCTTTTCCGCTAGTGCCAGAAGACCTGAAATTTTCCTCTTTTTTTGCCTGGGGCATGTTCGTTGGATTGAGGAAGAAAATTTCATAGATAATTACCTGGGTCATTCCTGTTGTGAGTGCCTTGCATCTTTTTTATTTTTCGTCTACCCTTGGACCCGAGAAATTCTACAATTTCTAGGATCTTATTGTCTTCAGTCGCACTTTTCGCTAGACGGAACCACGTGAAAAACCCTACCCGACATCATCTAGGGTTATTATTTTGGGGGAATCTTCCCTACTAGATATCCATTGACACGTTTTCTATCGGGGACCTCTTTCCGAACAGAGATCCTTTTTCCACCATAGGGATTCTTACGTCATCGGTTTTGAAGCCTTCCTCGCCCATTTTAAATTAGTTAGTCAATAAGCTTTCGCACTAAGGGAGATCTCCTAGTTTGGCTGGCTTAAATTTTGGTTGTTAGCCGTTAGTAGATGTAATACAATGTATTGATGTTAATTTTAGCAATTATTTACCCACACAGAAAATCTATTGTTTGTATGTATTTTTGTTTTTTTTTCTTGGGGTTTTGGGCTAAAGAGTGCCTTTCAACACCAAGGCATCTTCCAGTTTTGGCGGCCCTAAAAAATACCCCCCAACTCTTCGGTGTACCTGAGCATAGGGCCTAATTTGCCAACGCTAAACCACGGCTTTAGCCTCAGTAACCCCCTATTTTTTTTAAATCATCCATTGCGTCAATTGAGAAAAATAACTTTAGCTTAAAATTGAAAAGTGATTTTAATTAAAAAAAAGAGCGTGGCAGTGCGATCAGAACAAATCAATTTCATGCTATTTTTTAAAAAAATACTGGATAACATTATCCGTATCTAGGTTCATGGAGGGTCTGAAAACAACTGTAAATCATGTGATATTCACCAAAGGACATACCTAATTAAAATAAAATACCTTCCATTCTTTCGTAATTTTTTAGAACATCGTCATTTCTTTTAGTGCTAATATGATCTAGCTTGCGGACCCATGTTCATATGGAAATTTCGTCTTCAAATTGACCAGGGATACGATGGTTAATGTTTGTCTACATACTTTATTAACACCCTGTATATGGAGCCAATCACATACTATGAGTTAAAATTTTTCATTTTGCTACCATAAAACGTCAAATGAAATGAATTTTGAGAAAGCTGTGAAAACCTACTAGAAAAAGCATTTAATAGAATTACTGAATTTTTGAAAATAAAATTTTAGCCTTGTGGTTATAGTCTACATTTGCACATCTGTATTATTATATGCAGAACAGAGTATGTCACATCTCTGTGACCTGATCCTCACTTTTGCCAGGTAACTTAAGAATATGTGCTGCCGATAAGGAATTGTCCATTAATGAAAAACTTCTCTGAAGTAACAAATAAAACAGTTTGATTGGTTGGGCTTTTCAAATTAACCCACCACCCACACGTACGAGTCGAAATGTGAAATGATTATACGTTAAATTCCAGCAGTCCGCTCCCATTTTTCATATATCGGCTACGCGATGTCCAGAATGGTGCGTGTTGTACACGTTCAATCATTCCAAAATCACGACGTTCCATCATCAATGTGATTCATCAACCCTCACATTTCGAACCCCTTGTTTGCCACTAACTTAAATGAAATAGGTATGTTTGGACAGTTTGCTACTTTGTTGGTTTTACGATGGACCCCCTCTTTCCCATATTATTGTTGATTTAAGATGTTTTGGGGTGTCATGCACCAATGGGTGTCTATCATTTTTCGTTGCATATAAATTCTGCGTATACAGAGGTAGTTAGGGTAACTGGGAAACCTTCATTATATTGTAAAGTTTTTATGGGTTCTTTTGCGTGTGGATTAAAAACACTCGATTCCACAAGGAGAAATGCACTGATTTATTTAAAACACAACACAACTAACTAGCTAGAACATTTATGTACGAGCCCCTTCCCACTTCAGTTGGCCCAACTATTGAAATCTTGTTTTTTTCTTATCAAACACAAATAATAAAAATGTAGCACGGTGTTATAGGTTTAAAATATTAACAATGAATATTTTGATAATACAGGTATAGTAGAAAACACCAACTTTATCACTCCCTAATAAAATTTGCAGCATAAAAATAACACATGTTGCAATTACAGCATTATCAACCTATTTGCATTTCAATGCAAAATAAGTCTATAACGCATAGGTGGCTGTGAAAAATAAAAGCCATGACAATTGTTTTTATTAATCACAGCTGTCAGAATACGTTTAAAATAGTTTTTGGTAGTTTAGTGAGAAAATTCGGTTACTGATGATTAAATTTTTTAATTCTGGGAAATCAAACTCAGAAATTGCAACTTTGTTAGATTTACCGCGGTACAGTGCGAGAAATATTGTTAGAAGATAAAAGGGGAACTGGTTCAGTTAATATTAAGCCACGATATGTGGAAAAAAGTAATATCACAAATGCCGACCGAAGAGCATTAAGAAGAATAATCGTGAAAAACAGGCGTGCCTATTATTTACAATTAAGTGCTCTGTGGAGTGACGCTGTTGGAAGGAGAATTTCGAGGTCCACAACTCATAGACAGGCCCACAAACTGGGATTTAGCACTTGCAAGGTAAGTTTCCTTATAAAAAAGTGAAGTAAAAATTCTAAAGTTGCACAACTTGTTTATAGGCCAAAGGAAAGCCACTATTAACTCCACTGCAAAAGAAAAATCGGCTTAGATGGGCTAAAAAACATAGACAATGGACACCTCAACAATGGTGTGCAATACAATGGAGTGATGAGGCCCGATTCGAAGTTTGTGTTGGTGACAGTCGCAGTAGAGTTATTCGCAAAAAAAGCATTCCATGTTGACTGTCTGAAGAGAAAAGTGAAATTCCCAGCATCCATTATGGTCTGGGGCAGTATGTCATCAAAAGGAGTAGGAAAATTTCATTTTATTGATGGAAATGTGGATACGAACAAATGTTTGGCAATTTTAGAAGAATCGCTTTTACCAGTGATGGAAGAATGTTTGACATCCGGCCAAGATTTTGTGATTTAGCAAGATGGTGCAGCGTGCCATACCTCATAAAAGGCTATAAAATGGATGGAAGAAAATAATGTACCACTTTTGAAATGGGTTTCTAGCAGTCCAGATCTGTCACCTATTGAAACTTTGTGGCACGCGATGAAAAAGGTTCTACGACAATATCCTGCTGGTACAATCACCGAACTGAGACAAAAGCTTCAAGAAATATGGGATTGTTTTACACCAAATTTTTGCCAAAACTTGGTTAACACTATGCCGTAATAAAAAATAAAGGTGATGTTACCCAATGGTAATCTTTCAATTGTTGCTTTGTTAACTTCGCGCATTTATTCGCACATTGTTTATTTGTTCAGATGTTCTATTAGTTATGGATGTAAGTGATTTCAAATATGATTTTTTTATGACTAGAGTGTATCTCAAATGTTTTTGAGAAAATAAATTGTTTTAGAAGTAAATAGTTTCGTCATGTTTAGTTTATAAAGCATATTTTGGTACAAATCTTGAGGTGGGCCAACTGTAGTGGGAAAGGGCTCGTATACCACTATTTATGTCTGACTACATATTTACGAACTATTGTGTCTACTCTGCTTCCCTCTCCCGGCCGTCGACTTATACAGTGCTTTTCTTTAATGTCCCCCTACCCTTCGATTTTTTGAACGGATCAATTCAAGAAACTAAAACTTCAGGTAATGAAATTGATGCGTGGATACCATATTTTAGAGTAAATGTCGAAATGGCCGCTGGGCGCCAAAAAATTATATTAAAACGGGGGTCTTGTGGCACAGCATTTTGAAGCTCCTGACGAGCACTTTGTAACCCTAGAACATAAAGTCAATACCTTCACCTACTACAAAATGGTGGTACATTTATTAGTTACTTGAACACAGACCCACTAACATGCATATCTCTACAAATAATTGTAATTCCCTTCCGTATCCACAGTAACAGCGATAAAAACTTGTTTTGTTATTTTTTGTCGACAGTGACAAGAATATCAATATGAAAACAAACATCATTCTACAGTTAAAATATACTTATTTAGTTTTCGGTTTTAGTGCTACGAGTAGATACTGTTTGAACTATTTTTAAAATGGTCAATTCTTGTCCATTGGAAGAAAAAATCGAAGCGATTTTTATTTATGGTGCGACACGCAACTTTTACGAGACCGAAAGGATGTTGAATGATCGTTTCCCGAATCGTCCTATGTGTAGAAAATATTTAAGGGAACTTTTATCTAAATTTACAACTACTGGTAGTGTAAACAACAAAAAGCCCCCAGGCCATCCGACCATCCCGGGAGAGAAGCAAGTTCAAATAATTGGTGACATCATAGTAAATCCCCAACAGTCTTCTTCCTCCGTCGCGAATGCAAGTGAGGTTCGTCCTTCTACTGTATGGAGACTTTCGAAAAAGAATAAGTATCACCCATACAAAATTCAAATGGTACATCAGCTAACTGAAGATGACCCTGATTGAAGAACA